AGGGAGGGAGAGAGAGGATTCAAGGAGGCTTGGAGGGCTGAGAGGAAGGTGTCGGGGGTTGTGGGGGGAGCTGGCTGGATGTGAGGGAGAGAGGCAGTGGTACGGTGGGTGACAGGGACCGAGTGGGGCGTAGAACCAGCTGCCTGAGGCTGGACACAGCTGACTTTACTCATTCATGCGTCAAACGCTTCTTGGATTCTTTGTGAATGCAGCCTGGCGCGGGTACGTGACAGAGGAGGGCCCCTCCTGGATTGGAGCTGTGAAGGGCAGGCGGCCGGCTCAGGGAGCTGGAGGAGCTGCAGGAAGCAGGGCTTTCGGAGGACGGAGGGCTGTGTGTGTGCTCTGTTGGATTCACTGACTTGTTTAAACTAGGAACACACGGGTTGGACAATCTTCAAAGGACGAGAGGACACTGTGCACTGATGGCCTTCATCCCCTGGCTCCCGCCAGTGCCCCAGACCGGCTCCCCTGGGGGGTGACGGTCACCGGCCGAGCCCGAGGGTGTGGCTGACTCTGCTTCTCCCATCTGACCCGGAATTTCCTAGAGCAGGTCCCTTGGCCTGGTGCCTGCGTCCAGCACGGCACGGTGCCCTTCGTGGGTGTCCAAACACGTCTTTGTAGCCATTTAATAAACAATAGTCATTGTCACATTGCAGGAATCTCTCTGAAAGCCACTTCAGAACTGGAGGCAGTGGCGCATGCCTAAAATCCCAGCCTCGTGGAGCATGAGGCAGGAGAGTCACCTGAGCCCAGGAGTCTGGGGCCAGCTGGGCAGAGTAGCTAAGCCTTGTCCTAAAAAAAGAATAAAAACCACTTCGCATTCATCTCTCTCTGGATGGCCTCAGGGGGAGCTGGAAGGAAGTCCAGAGATTGAAGTAAAAACATCACCCAAGCCATACAGGTGAGGCTGACACACAGGGCCAAAGGGCACCGCTGACACGCGGGGCCCAGGTGTTTCCTTGCTGTAGTGGTGAGGAGGGGATGAGGCCGGGGTTGTGGTGGGTGGGAGCCAGGTCCCCGGCGGGAATGGGGGCGAGGACACCTCGGAGTTGGCCGGCAGTGGGAGGGGCTCCGGAGAGCGCAGACCGCTAAGTTACAGTTGTGGTGGCCAGGTCCCCCCGGCGGGAAGGGGCGAGGACACCTCGGAGTTGGCCGGCAGTGGGAGGGGCTCCGGAGAGCGCAGACCGCTAAGTTACCGGTTCCCTTGCCTCTCACTTCTTGGGTCCTTGGTCCTCTGTGCCCTTGATCCGAGTTTGGTCGGGACACGCAGGCGGTGCCGAAGTCCAGGCGGAGTTTTCTGTGGACGGCAGAGATGAGCAGGGGCCTGGGGCCGGGGAGCTGTGATGTGACGTTTCACTTTGCAGTTACTTGGGATTTGCAAAATGCCTTTGGTTCCTTTTCAGAGGGGCACTGTTTCCTCAGGGGCCTTAACTGCAAAAAGCTCACAGAAGCTAAACCCTGGAGAGGCCCGGCTGTGTGCTGGGCCGACACAGCAGCTGGGTCTTCGTGCTGCACACACGTGTGACGTAAGCTGTCACCGTGCTTGGGGTGACCGTGAGGAATGATGACACTGGCACAGAGGTGCCTCTGTTTCTGGAGGTCCTCTGGCCACCGTGCTATTTTGGATACTGCCCCTATTTGTCCCCTGGGCTGCTCTGGTCTAACCTGACGCCGGCGGCGAGCACCTGAGTGTCCACATGAGATGCAAGTCCCACCGGCAAGGCGGGCCAGGAGCTCAGGCCCGGATTCAGAGGACAGATGGAAGTAGAGTCATCACACAGGCGGGACGCGTATTTCCAGCCTCTGCACGACCCCCAGAGGTGAAGACGGAGCAAAACAACCCCGGCTGGGGTTCAAACGTCGGGGTTAGGGCCCCAGGCAGGAGCAGACAAGGGGAGGGGCTCGGATGGTGCTGGGGGTGGCAGGCGGCTTTCTTAGCTTGGGCTCTGCTTGGGCTGGAACCTCCCGCACTGTTTTCCCCGCAGCTCTGGGCTCCTCCCGCCTGCATCTGAGGACTCTCAGGGCTAAGGAGCAGGCTGAGCCCAAACCCTGTCTCCTGCTTCTCTCCCTGACCCTGATGCTGTGTTCGCTCAGGGCACTGGCGGAGGAGGAGGACGACCTGCTGGTCTCCTGGGTGCTCGCTTGGGACGATGACCAGTGTTACAGAAGCAGGGGCTAAAGGGGCCCCGAGGACCAGCCAGGGAGCCGGGACCGGAGAGGCACAGGGGAGGGGCTCTGCGCAGGGAGTGACTTCCCCAGCTCCGTGGGCCCTCACAGGCCCCTGGCCGATGAGCTTCCTGGGGCAGGAAGAAGCTGCCTCAATGGAGGACTCTTGAGTCCTCTTTTGCATTTTTCTTTTTAAACCATGTAAATGTATTTCTTTGGGGAAAAAATATTTTTTCTTTGAGAGACAGGAGCTCACTATGTTGCCAAAGCTGACCTTGAACTCCTGGGCTCAGAGGATCTTCCTGACTCAGCCTCCTATGTACATCCCACTGCACCCCGGTGAAAATGTTTTAATTTAAAAATAGGACTTGATTTATTTTTTCTTTCTGGAAATAATGAATCATTTACTACAATGAGATCATCAGAGCCAGTGCGGTCCCTGTGAGTCCTTTGAGGGCCAGCTGGGCTCAGTGAGGGGGAAGCTCATGGAAGCTGAGGGTCCTGCTCACCTTTGACAGTTGGCAAAATTAAGACCCAGAGAACTTGGTCACTTGGCCCTGGCCGTGAGCTCTCTCGTCCTCTTGCTGAGTGTAGTTTTTAAATCCTGCTGATCTAGTGGGCAAGGGCAGTGTCTCCAAGGAGAAGCAAGGGGCACCTCGGGCCCTACTCTCAGGCGGAGCCACAGAGGGCTTGATTTGCCTAAAGACTCCACCAAAAGATGATCCAAATGGATACACAAGTTAGTAAAGTTTCAGGATACACAGATCAACAGACACAGATCAGTAGGACCTATAATCCCACCATCTGGGAGGCTGAGGCAGGAGGATCGCAAGTTTGAGCCCAGACCCTGCGAACAGCAATGCAGTAAGAGCCTGTCTCAAACAAAAAAAAGGGGGGTAGTGCTAGTGATGTAGCCCAGTGCAAAGGCCGTGGGTTCAATCCCCAGTACCAAAAGAAAAGAAAAAAATTCCTAACACCTTGTTTGTACACTAATAACAAGGCTGCATAAAAAGAAGTCACGGGAGGGATTCCAACTCCCATTTTTGTTGCTTTGTTTTCTTGAGACAGGATCTCACTTTGTATCCCAGGCTGGCCTTGAGCTGTCTATGTAGCCCAGGCTAGCCTCCAATTCCCAGAGATCCTCCTGCCTCAGCTTCCCAAGTGCTAGTACCTGGTTAACTCCAGGTTTGCAAGCTACCTTCCTTGCTTCCACCTCTGCAGTGCACCGTGGCCACACTTGGCCCCCAGCAGGACGGGGATGCCTTGGACAGCACGCAAGGCCTGATGGCTAGAGAGAGTCCGCCACCTGCAGGGAGAAACCAGTGATGGTGGAAGTGGGATTTCTGGTCTGAACAATGCTTCCCGGGGAGCCGTGGAGAGGGAGGCGGCACAGGAAGAGGCCGGGCTCCACGGAGGCCTGGAGCTCCATTCGCTTTTGGCAGCAGCAGGGATGATTTGCTGAGTCCGTGCAGCCGAGGCCCTGGGGCCTTCCCTGCGGACACGGACACGGCGTCCTCTGTCTGACAGCCAGGCCCCTGCCACCTGGTCCACAGATGCACAGTTCAAGGTCCTCCCCTGGGCTTCCCCTGTGCCGGAGATCGCAGCTGGCAATGATTAACCCCCGCCTGTCTGGCGGAGGAGCTGGGTCACTCACTGCGAGGGTGACAGCACCGGACCCGCCAGTTTGTGCCGTCACGTTCTGCTCCCACAGCACCCAAGCGACAGGAACAGAGAAAATTAAAAAAAAAAAAAAAAAAAAGAATCATGCCCTGTATTCATCTTCTTTTCAGATTTCTTTTGTTTTTAAGCTTAGACTCGATGAGCTCACATTTGGAGGACGCAGTGACCGCTTTCCTCCGGGGATGTCACATCTCATCTTTTCACGTCCTCAGCGCCGGCCGTCAGCCTCCGAGGGCTGCCCTGCCGCTCAGGAGAAGTGGGGCTCGAAGCTGGGCTTGGGTCCCTGCTCTTCCGTGTAGACAAAACGCTTTCTAGTGGCAGTGACCGAGGACAGCAGAGTGGCTCTCTGAGCAGAACCCGCGGCCCCGCAGCACGGAGGACGGAGCCGCACGTAGAGGCAGTCAACTTGGGAGGGCGTGGTAGCGCACACCTATGATTCCTCAGTTGGGAGGCTGAGGCAGGACTGCTGTGAGTTTGAGACTAGCCTGGGCTACAGAGAGAGACTCACACACACACACAGGCACATAGTGTTTCAAACGCAGTGTTTGGATGCTAGGAGGGGACACGATGGTTTCTTCCCTGCCTTGTCTGCCCACTGCAAATAGAACGGCATCGCCCTTGCCCTGGGAGAGGTGTCCGCCCGGCACGCCCTGGCCGTCCTCATCCGACCGAGGCCGAGCTGTATGTTCTGACACCAACTCCTCGTGTTTTCCTGAAGCCTCTGGATTTCTGTTTTTGGAGAAAAGGCCAGGCAGTGCCTGTGAGTGTCCTAACCCTTGAGCGGCCCAAGTTTCCATGGCTTCCGCGGGCTCCGAGGCTGCTTCCTGGGGGCGCTAACAGGTCTCCCGGCCCAGCAGCGATTCCCGTGCCCGACCCCTCAGTCTGTGTTGATGCGTAGATGCCTGGCCTCCCCTGGCCGCCAGGCTGGCCGGGTCCCAGGGGCAGACAGGATTTAAACTGGCTAAGTTAGAAGAGAAGATGACAAGTGGTGGAGGTAGAGGGTGGGACCTCCTCTCTGGAAATAGCTGCTTTGTGTTCTGAGTTGGGGACAGAACCCAGGGCTTCGCACACCAAGCAAGGGCAATCGCTTTTCGGCCGGGCCACACCCCAGCCCTTCCGTGGCTGCAGAAACGAGTGGGTTCTTAACAAAGCGGGACTGCAGGAACTCGAATGCTTCATCTAGAGCTGTGTGTGGTGGCGCATGCCTGTCACCCGATGCTAGGGAGGCCAGGGCAGGAGCATCAGTGGGAGTTCAAGGCCAGCTTGGGCTACATAGGGAGACCCTTTCTCAAAAACAAAAACAAAAACAAAAACACCCCCAAAACAAACCAACAAACGAAAGCTTCATCTGCATTCATCTGCAGGCTTCGCCTGTGCCCCAAGAGCTTTGAGGGGCCAGGAATAGCTCTCCAGGGCCTCAGGGGCCTCCCCTCCTCTGATAAAAATCTGCTGCAGGAAGCAAGCAGGGCTGGAAGGTCAGAGGATGGGGCCCTGCGCACGTGTCACTGAGCTGTCACAGAGGTTCTGAGCGACAGGGTTGCCAACGCAGCAGACAGGTTCCTCCTGCCTCAGCCTCCCAGAACAGATCATCAGCCTGTGAAGGCGCCTTAGCAGCACGGGGACCCACAGGGCTTTCAGGTTTCTCCAGGGCTCCCCATTTTCTCCCCTACACTGAGCACAGGACTGACCTTGTACAGAGGTCCTGGCTGCTGGTGGCCATCAGGGAGCTGACAGTGTGACCTTGGATGGTTTGTGTCACCTCTGACCAGGAAAGCTCTGGTCCCGGGCATCGCTGCCGTGGTTGCTTAACACTTTCTGGCTCCCTGCCTGTCTCTTCAGGCCACTGCCCAGGGCCCCACATCCCATGGTGTACAGGATGCAGGCCCACGTCCCCCTGCCCACCAGCTGGCCCAGCGGGACTGACGTTCCCCGTGAGCTGGGGTGGGAGGGGCGCCGGCTGCGGGTGAGGAGGTTTTGGTCTTTCCCAGCAGGGAAGATGTCCACCTTCGCTGTAGGAGCTCCGAGTTCCTCTTCGCTGTCCCCAACCTACCCCTCGCCGGTCACTACGCACCTGCCGGTGGGAAATTTAGGCTGAGCCTGTAAAATGTGTGACTTGGCCACCAACTCACTGCCCGTCTCCCTTCTGATCTGTGGGGAGGTTTTGGCCCCACAGGCTGCCCCTGAAAACATACAGGGAAATGCACGGGCCATGCTGAAACTGTCTGAAAAACACCCAGAACGTCCTAACTGGCTCCGCAGTCCCCAGTCGCCAAGTTGCCGGTGTCCTCTTGCACGAACATACATTTGTTCTACTGCTTAAACGTTACGTGCTGAAACCGACAGTAAAGTCATGAAATGAATTGATTGATCGCTGAATTCACCAGCCATGGCCTGATGAGATAGAAGCCGATGCCAGGGAGAGGGCTGATCCCCCACCCCGGCAGAGGCCACCCCAGGCCCCAGCGAAGCGAGGCAGGGCCAGAAGGGGACAGGGCCCGGAGCAACCACACTGGGTGTTCTGGGATGAACACAACCCCAGGCAGGTGCAGACCTAGAAAACGGGCCAGCTGGTTCTTGGTGGACTTCGACTGCCCTGCGTCCGGCTGCCTCGGAGCCAAGAGGGCAGCCCCTTGCACAGTAAGCAGTGTGCCCAGGTTAATGATTGGCCCTGCCAGGGGCCGATCAGGCTGTTTTTGTGTGTGCCTGTTTTGCTATTTTACGTAAATCACCCTGAACACGTTTGCATCAGCCTCCCAATGATGCACCTTTGATCAATAGAATTTAGACAAAAGCGGTTTTGAGTCCAAAGATCAGGGCTGGGTTGGCCTGCGGACCGGCTACAGGGCGTATAAAACAGGGGCAAGGCGCACAGTGATAGCAGCGCCATCGCCACCCAGCCTGAGTCTCAGCAGTCACCGGCCTCCAAGGTGCCGGGGCGCAAGGATGGAGCGCGGGATGAATGTGCTACATGACTTTGGCGTCCAGTCCACGCGCTACCTGCAGGTGAACCACCCGGGCTCGCGGGACTGGTTCATCCTGGTGTCCGTGCTCGCCGACCTCAGGAACGCCTTCTACGTGCTCTTTCCCATCTGGTTCCACCTCCGGGAGGCCGTGGGCATCCGGCTGCTCTGGGTCGCGGTGATCGGGGACTGGCTTAACCTTGTCTTCAAGTGGTGAGGAGCACACAGTGGGAGACGGGCGGGAGAGGCTGCTGGTGAGAGAGCGGGCTGTCCACAGCCATCCGGGGTCCCCACACTGCTCAGGGAGCCCCTCGGAGTCTCCACATAGAAGGGACGGCCATGGAGACAGCCCCCTCTGCGTGGGAGCCAATTTCCTATGAGCCACGGGTGGGACATCAGTGAGAATCCTGCACCGATTCAGGCTTTAAGCAAAGACTTTGAAGGAGAATTGAGGGTTGGGGTGCAGCTTGCCAAGTGTGCGCGAGGCCCTGGGTTCCATGCCCAGCACCACAGAAGAAAAAGAGAACTGAGGCTGTGAAGACAGAGATGTGTGGGGAGAGGAGAGAGATGGCTGGAAACCCGGTCACACGGGCCAGGAAGCGGACAGAGCCCGGGCCACAGGAGAGATGGAGGCACAGAGTTAACTGGGCCAGTGAATGTCACTCAGCCCCCAGCTCTCGGTCCACACCCTGCCTGATTTCAGGAGTTCCAGCCAGAGAGGAATTGCTATGTCAGATGACGGGTTTATTTTTTTCTCATTTATTTATGTTTGCAGAGCTGGGGGTCGAACCCAGGCCTGGCACATGTTAAGCAGGTGCTCTACCCCTGAGCTATACTGCTCTCCTAGGCGAATCTTGGGATCTTTCAAGACTGGGTGTGGTGGCACAGGTTTCTAATCTGACCCTCTCAGGAGGCTGAGGCAGGAGGATCAAGTTCAGGCCAGCCTGGACAATTTAGACTTCATCTTAAAAAAAAGAAACATACAAAGAAAAAACCTCCCAGTTCTAACACTCTTTGGTAGTACACAATAAAAGTCCTTTAGAGTAAGAAAAAAATGTTATTGGGCAAAGCATATTGATGAGATTCCCGAGAGCTATGTTGGAGAGTTATTAAATTTTGTCTTCTCCTATTCAGTTATATGAACCTAAAAAATAAAAAGATAAAGGATTATTCCAGATACCTGATCTTAGAAAAGAGCCATGGATTCTTTCTGGGTTGCTAGAGGTCAGAGGTGGTGCCTGTCCCCAGATTTGTTCTTTTTTTTCCTGGTACCAGGGATCAAACTCAGGACCTTGTGCTTTCGAGGCAGGTGGCTGCGGCACTGAGTTAAATCCCTGGCCCTGTCCCCAGTTTTTATTAGCAGCATCCTAATGACTTTTGATGCCCGTTTTCACTGTGGAAATCCCATCTAGTACTTTTGAGGGGGATGTGGTTATTCTGAGGCATTCTGTTTTGAAGCAGAGAGGACAAAACAAGCCTCTGGCTCATGAGGCTGACTCTGATGGGGCCAGGTCTCCTGGGGGGCTGTCCTTGGGCTGGGCACATCCTTGGGTGTCATAGGAAACCCACAATTCCCTAAGGCCCGAGAAAGAGGAGTCCAGAGTCCACACAGGTCGACGTTACTAGCTAGTTTTCTGTATGCGTCTTTCCCAGACAAATTCTTCTTGGGGTTAAAAAAAAAAATCACTTAGCTGCCACTAATATGGAATATTTTATCTTGATTTTAATTTTATTTGTTTTCCTTAAGAAACAGGATCTCAAGTCAGGCAAGTGGCCCATGCCTGTAAGCTTAGCTACTCAGGAGACTGAGGAAGGAGGATCGCAAGTTCACGTCCAGCCTGGCAGCTTAATGAGGCCATGTCTCAAAGTAAGACATAAGAGGAATTAAGGATCTAGCTCAGGGGTAGAGCACTTGCCTAGCATGTGCGAGTCTGTGTGTTCAAGTCCCAGCACCGCCACCCCCCCTCGAAAGAATGGGGGAAAAAAAGAAAAAGTGATGGGGTCTTGCTATGTTGCCCAGGCTGGCCCTGAACTCCTGAGCTCAAGTAATTCTCCTGCCTCAGCCTCCTGAGTAGCTCGACTACAGGTGTGCACCACCATCCCTGACTTTGGATTTACGCTTGAATGCATGAGACATTCCTATGTCAAAAGTTGTCTAACGGCCGTGTCACGAAATCTCTCCAGGCCCCTCCTCGGCCACTCAGTGGCTCCTCAAGCCACTCTCTCCTCTAGAAAGAGGGGGCCGGGCCGGGGCAAAGGTGTCCCTTGGGTGGCTCCAGACGCACTGTTCCGCTCCTCTCAGGATTCTCTTCGGACAGCGCCCCTACTGGTGGGTCCGGGACACTGACTACTACGGCAACACCGCGGCGCCGCTGATCAAGCAGTTCCCGGTCACCTGTGAGACGGGACCAGGTGAGTCCCAGCCCCGTGGGGACGGCAGCGTGGGGGCCTCAAGGGGGCTGTGATGCGCAGAAGGAATGGTAAATAGGGAAAGCACGTAGCAGATGAGAAGATGATGATGTTTATGCTAAACGAAGAGGAGGAAATGAGACGCAGAAGTCCAGTTGTCCCTCGGAATTCCGAAGTCAGGGCGGCCTCTGTCGTGGCCGGATGGGCCGCAGGCGCCAGGCCTTTACGCCCTGGCACGGACTGGTTACTGCTGCAGGCCGCCCCTGGAGGAAGGGGGACCTCGGTGAGGTCATTAGCCCTGGCAATGCCCAGAAAAGACGGGGAGCTGAGGGCCTTTTGCATCTACAGCCTCGGCCGAGGGAGTTCTGGGAGAATCTCAGAAACCTGCATTGTTTTGGTAGAAGAATCCTGCATTTAACTGCAGTGTTAAATGGGGTGCCCGAGAGGACCCCTTGATAAGGACAGGGCTGAGCCAAGACTCAGAGGCAAGGACTTGGCCAAGGGAATTCAGGGCAAGAGCTGTCTGGCCAGAGAGCCCAGTGACGCAAAGGGCCTGGGGTGGGGGTGCACCGGGCGTGTGCAAAGGACAGCAAGGCAGTAGTGTGATCACAGCAGTGAGCACGGAGCAGGGGAAGGAGAGATGTAACAACAGGCCTGGTGGGGTGAGATTCACATCCAACGCGCTGATGTTCTGTGCGATCTCCACACTGCAGCAGGGATCTTCTCTGGTTTTACCCCTACTGTGCTCTCAGAGCTGTGCACAATGCTCAGTGCAAAGTAGGAGCTCCACAGATAGCTATTAAATAAATAAGTTATTGATACATGAATGAATGGCAGGGCGGGTGAATAGGTGGGTAAATGGATGCATGGACGGATGGGAGGACGGGTGGGAGGATGGATGGATGGATGGATGGGAGGACGGGTGGATGGGAGGATGGGTGGGAGGATGGATGGATGGACGGATGGATGGGAGGATGGGAGGATGGATGGGAAGACGGGTGGATGGGAGGACGGGTGGATGGGAGGACGGGTGGATGGATGGACGGATGGATGGACGGACGGATGGATGGGAGGATGGGAGGATGGATGGGAAGACGGGTGGATGGGAGGACGGGTGGATGGGAGGACGGGTGGATGGATGGACGGATGGATGGACGGACGGATGGATGGGAGGATGGGAGGATGGATGGGAAGACGGGTGGATGGGAGGACGGGTGGATGGGAGGACGGATGGATGGATGGACGGATGGATGGATGGACGGATGGATGGGAGGATGGGAGGATGGATGGGAGCACGAGTGGATGGGAGGACGGGAGGATGGATGGATGGATGGACGGATGGATGGACGGATGGATGGGAGGACGGGTGGACGGGAGGACGGATGGGAGGACGGGTGGATGGATGGACGGATGGATGGGAGGATGGGAGGATGGATGGGAGGACAGGTGGATGGGAGGACGGGTGGATGGGAGGACGGATGGATGGATGGACGGATGGTTGGATGGACGGGTGGATGGGAGGACGGGAGGATGGATGGATGGATGGATGGACGGACGGATGGATGGGAGGATGGGAGGATGGATGGGAAGACGGGTGGATGGGAGGACGGGTGGATGGGAGGACGGATGGATGGATGGACGGATGGATGGATGGACGGATGGATGGGAGGACGGGTGGACGGGAGGACGGATGGGAGGACGGGTGGATGGATGGACGGATGGATGGGAGGATGGGAGGATGGATGGGAGGACAGGTGGATGGGAGGACGGGTGGATGGGAGGACGGATGGATGGATGGACGGATGGTTGGATGGACGGGTGGATGGGAGGACGGGAGGATGGATGGATGGATGGATGGACGGACGGATGGATGGGAGGATGGGAGGATGGATGGGAAGACGGGTGGATGGGAGGACGGGTGGACGGGAGGACGGATGGGAGGATGGGTGGATCGATGGATGGATGGGAGGACGGGAGGATGGATGGATGGATGGATGGATGGATGGACGGACGGATGGGTAGACAATGCCCTTGGCAGTCTCTCAGGTGGAGGCCTTTCATCTTCACTGTGTGCACGCCTTTCCTGCCCGTTAGGGAGTCCTTCTGGCCATGCTATGGGTGCAGCAGGTGTGTACTATGTGATGGTGACATCAGCCCTCTCTATCTTCCGGGGAAAGAAGAAGCCGACATACAGATTACGGTAAGAACTCCCTGGGTGTGGGTGGTGGCAGGAGGTGGCCCTTGCTGTGGCTGACACCACATGCTCCTCCCGCACCCCTAGCCCATCCCCGCCTCGGGAGCTGGGTGCTTCGCTGAGGGTGGACGTTAGAGTCAGAGCGTTAGTGCTGGAAGGGACCCACTCGTGCCTTTGTCTTTAGGACAGAATAGGAGGTCTGACATCGAGGAGGCTTCCAGAGTGCAGGTGCTGGGCTGGGGTGACCGTCACCTCTCTCCTTGCAGGTGCCTGAACATCATTTTGTGGTTGGCGTTCTGGGCCGTGCAGCTGAACGTGTGTCTGTCCCGGATCTACCTCGCTGCTCACTTCCCACACCAGGTTGTCGCTGGAGTCCTGTCAGGTATCCGACTCCCTCCCCGCCCCCAGCCTGTCGCCCCCAGCCTGTCGCCCCCAGTCAGGGCAGAATCCCGGCATTCCAGGCGTGTCCTCCTCGTCCTTCTGGCTGTTAGCATCTCAGGAGCTTGAAAGTCAAGGGTAGAGAGGCTGAGGCAGGATGATGACAAGTTCAAGCCCAGCCTGGGCAACTTGGGGACTTAGGGAGACCCTGTCTCAAAATCTAAAATTTAAAAGGGGCTGGAGATGTAGCTCAGTGGTTAGGCCCTGAGTTCCATGCCCAGTGTGTGGAAGGGAGGAGAGAAGTCCATGTGACCGTTTCCACGGGTGGCAGGTGGCCCGCCGCTCCCATCCACCTCTAGCAGGGTCTACACTCTTCTGCACCCCATCCTGCCATTCTGCCCTGTGCCCAGGTATTGCTGTCGCTGAATCTTTCCACCACATCCGAGGCATCTACGACGCCAGCCTCAAGAAGTACGTCCTGGTCACCTTCCTCCTGCTCAGCTTCGCCATCGGCCTCTACCTGCTGCTCCGGGCGCTGGGCGTGGACCTCCTGTGGACCCTGGAGAAAGCCAAGCGGTGGTGCGAGCGGCCAGAGTGGGTGCACATCGACACCACACCCTTTGCCAGCCTCCTCAAGAACCTGGGGACCCTGCTGGGCCTGGGGCTGGCCCTGCACTCTCACATGTACCGCCAGGGCTGCCGCGGTGGGCTCGGCAGGCGTCTTCCGTTCCGCCTCGCCTGCGTCGGGGTCTCCCTCGTGCTCCTGCACCTCTTCGATGCGCTGAAGCCTCCGGCCCAAGTTGAGCTGGTCTTCTACTTCCTGTCCTTCTGCAAGAGCGCGGCGGTGCCCTTGGTGTCCGTCAGCCTCGTGCCCTACTGCCTGGCCCGGCTCCTGGGCCAGTCACACGGGAAGGTGCGGTGAGGCGTCCAGAGTCTGCAGCTCCAAACCAGCGACTGTGACTGTGCAAGAGCAGGGGACCAAGGCCTCCTGCCAGGGCCTTTGGGGGCCAGTCAGCTGTGGGGAGCCCCTACCCGCTCTGCGGTCCTGGTCATATCGAGACATGGTTCTGAGCCACCGATGAGGCCGCTGCAGGAAGCCTGGGCCCTGTCACAAGTTGCGTCCTTCTGGATGCTCCCGAGAACTTCTGTCCCGCTTCTCCTAGCTGATGGGCACAGCGAGACCTCCAGGTAGGGGAGCTCCTGAGCCCAGGACAGAGACCACAAGCTGTGCTTGTCCTCACCCCAAAAGGAGAAAGGCACAGTGAATTTGCTAGGGAAGGCAGGAGGGGCCAAAGAGAGGTTTTAATACCTTGCACATCATTGCTAGACGCCAAGCGGTGTCTAAATGGCTTCAATGACATTTGAATCCTTAGATGTGTGATCTCAGTAATGGTAGACCAGCCCGGTATGGTGGCGCACACCTGTCATTTCATCACTTGGGAGGCTGAGGCAGGAGGATTGCAAGTTTGAATCAAACCTGGGCAACTTAGCAACTTAGAGAGACCTTGGCTCAAAATGAAAAATAAAAGAGGGCTGGGGATACAGCTCAGTGTAGAGGCCCTGGGTTCAATCCCTAGTGCCAGATGGCATTTTTCTATTATCCCTGCATGGCCATGGTGTTGATTTGTGAATGGCCCCAGTGGCTGAGATACTGGACCAAGCCTGAACATTCAGGCCTCCTTGACTTCTCTTCCATCACCTTCCATCTTCCTCCCTATTATCCCGCCCTGCTGTGCCCAGAATTCCCTAGGCTCGGAGCCTCAAATGCCCAGGGCAATTCTTTGGTGGTGCTTTCGTAGCTTCTAAAACCTTGGCAAAATGGCCAGGAGAGGGCCAGGACTCCTCCCCATGGACGGTCACTCCAGCGCTACTCTCAACCCCTGCACGGTAAACATGACTCCTTTCTCTACCCCAGGCCGACCCAGCGCACACGTTTAGAGGAAGAGCGATCGGCTCCGTAACAGTTTGCAGAATATGGGCTCAGAACCAAAAACGCTGAAGCCTATTTACTCAGGACTCCTTGTTTTTGCTACTGATGATGTAGAATATAGTATGTTGTCATTCACACCACCATCCTAACACCCTTGAAAAGAAAAACATATGTGTGCGGTATTTTATTAAAACATTTTATTTAAAAAAGAAGCCTTGTTGATTATCGTTCAGCTTTCTGACCCAGCTAAATTTCTAGCTCTTTCCCTAAACAGAGATGTTGACTCCTCTGTGCCCACCCTTTCCCTTGGAGAGGGAGCGCCTCTGTCTTGGTTCCCCAGGGTTCTGGCATAGGCGGGGAGATGTACGACCAGCTGAGCACAGTGGCAGGAGCACAGCGTGGGTACTGAGCTGGTGCCACATGGGCTCGGTCTGCTGGCCCCCTGTGGGAGGGCAGAGCAGTGGCACAGAATGAACGGTGCTGTGCTTGGCCAGCTGGCTGGAGGTGGCAGCTGGAGCTCCCTTCCTGGGAGGCTCCCTGGGGCAGAGCACCCAGTCCTGAACTCAGGACCTTGCGCTTGCCAGGCAGGCATGGCACCACTGAGCTAAATCCCAGCCCTTTTCTTTGTAGCTTGTTTTGTTTTGTACCAGGGATCGAACTGGTGACTTTGTCTTTTCAGTTTTCTGAAACAGGGTTGTATGTATTCAGGCTGACCTTGAACGCACTATGTAGCCCAGGCTGGCCTTGAACTCATGGTGATCCTCTTGCCTCCACCTCCTGAGTGCTGGGATGACGGGTATGCACCACCACGCCTGACTAGTCATGAGATCTTTTTCATTTTGCAGATCTCAAGATCCTCACCTCCTCTTGTTCCTGATTAGCGGCCTTGTGGGCAGTTCCCGCCACGTCACACAGTGGGGGGCCCGAGGCCCTGCTAATCCGCAGTTGGGTAACAAGGGGAAACACATCTGCCCTGATTGATGGTCACAGGCTGTCTGTCGGGGTGCCAATAAGACTCCTGGGTCCCGTTGGGGGGATGACAGGGAGTAAAAGAAAGACAGAAACAATATTCAATATGCAGGGGGGACCAGGAGGAACTTGTCTTTAGTGGACAGCCTTTGACGCACTCCGCGGTGGGCCCACTTTTATTTTCAGCAAGAAACGCAGGGAGGGGGAGTGTGCTGTTCTAGGAACTGGGACTGCAGTGAGATTAGGGCAGCAAGATAGGGACCGAGTTTAGCATCTCTAAGGAATCAAGTCAAGGTTCTTCCCCACACCTGGGGACCCGCGTTTCTTATTGTCCCCAGTAGATGTTGTCTTGCTGTAGGAGTACTCTGATCATGACTTTCCCTCACCGCTAGGAAGTCTGTTCCTGAGACAGCACCCTTGGGACTGTGGGGCCTGTTTTCTGGCCCCCAACAGTGGACAGCAGGGTCAGGGGACGAGACACAGGCAGGAGGCAGCCGTGGCCATCAGGTCTCAATGCTCACCTGGGAAGAAGGAGGGCGCCGTGTCATCGGCGAGGGCTCCCCGCCAGATGAAGCCACCAGGGCACTGAGCAAGACTGAGCAGGCCCTGGAATCCAGCAAGCCAGGATCTGGGAAGCGTGGGGTCATGGAGAGAGGACATCATCGCACCAAGGAATGTGTGGGGAGCTCTTGCGGGTTTTCTTCTGAGCAATGGCCTTTATCCCAGGTACAGGGTCTTCCTCCAAAGGCCTCAACTGTCACCAGCACGCTGGGTCAGCTGTGAGTGAGCGCTGCTAATTCACCCCAGAGGTCTGGACACTGGATTTGGGTTTCTCAGAGGGGGACACCAAGCACCTCTCACAAGCAGCAGCCCCACCAGGGGGCGAAGGAAACTCTTGTCTGTCTGAATTGGACCCTGCAGCTAGGCTTGGCCTTCTCCTTCATGCTCCATTGGCTCCCAGAGACCAAATTCAAGTTCCTTACAATTGGATTCTTGAGCTGGGCATGGTGGCACACACCTGCCATCCCAGCACTTGGAGGCAGGAGAATTCCTGCGAGTTTGAGGCCAGCCAGGGCTACACAGCGAGTTCAACTACAGCCTGGGCTATACAGAAAGCTCATTTCAAAAAACAAAACAAAAAAAGAGGCCTCTGGCAGTTTGTGAGCTTAAGGACTCACGACAACGGGTAAAACACATTGAGTGCTCGTTCTAGGCCCCCCCATTCCACACGTTTAAAAAATACATATCTATAATCACTTAGTTCTCCCAGTCTCTGTGAGGTGGCTCTGATCCTCTCCCCAACCCCCGTACTACACGTGAGCGGGCACCGCGTGGGGAGGACCCTAACACTGGATGGGAGGCTGGATTAAGAATCAGGCAGTCAGAACCCAAGCTCTGTCCCATCCCACCCTGTCACCCGCTGAAGTTGCTTCAACCCTCAACAAACAGATGCAGCCTCTTTCCAGGGCTAAGGGCCTGACCTGGACATGTGCAGACCGGAGAAGGGCTCTGTCCTGAGCTGCGCCGAGCCCCACATGCAACTCTTAACTCAGACCCAAGGAGATGGGATTTCCTTCCGGCCAACGGCTCTGTCAAACTGATCTCCCCGTAGGCTGGCGTCAGCTCTCAAGTAGGAAGGGGCTGTATTTCAAAAGGAAGGGGCTGTATTTCAAAGGCCATTTCACGAAACAAACACCAGCGGTTCATTAACAGCTGTGCCTAAAACAACTTTAGCTCTTTTTCTCTCAGGAAAGTCTAAAATCACCTTAGGGCAGTAAAACAGTGAGAAACTTGCTATTGATAGACTCAAGATAAAACAAGAAGACAGAAGCACCACAAACTTTTGATCCAGATCTCACCTAAAGGCCTAGGACCGGATGGCCAGAGCCAGCAGAGACAAAAATGGCACATTTTTTTTTTCTTTCTTGGGTGTTGGGGATTGAACTCAGGGCTTTGTGATGGTAGGCAAGTGCTCTACCCCGAGTTACACCCCAGCTCTGCCCCAGACAGAACATACGATCTCAGATCAGCTCCCCAGCTTACAGACTTGGGTCTGCTTGGAAACAGCCTGTGGGTCCTAGCCTGTACACAAGGGACCAATGACAGCTTTAGACAATGCCCTTGTCCTGTGACTGCACAATATGAGTGAGTGTTCTAGCAGTGTTCAGGTGTCAGGTCTGAGAGAGCCTCTCACACACTCACACACACACACTCACCCATGCTGTGCAATTGTGTCACTGTTCCAGGAGATAAAAACATGAAAATGTACAACTTCTGCTGGCCCAGTACTAAAACAGCACAGATAGATGCAGTCTTAGAGCTTTGACAAAATTATAACCACTTTTAAAATCTTTGTAATAGCTTTATTGAGATACAATTCACACAGCATGCAATACCCTGGCTTAAGGTATACAGTAGTTTCTAGTGTTTCCTCACTTAACACAACCGTCACCACAAATCAACATCAGACCACTTTTCTAGCTGCTCTAAGTGGCACCCCAAGACTGTGCCATTCCCCACTGCCCACCCAGCCCCTAGCACCCACATCTCCGTCTTCAAGACTCACAGTCCAAATGGCACAGGACCAGGATCACACAACACACAGCCCTGCGTGCTGGCATCTCCCTCTTGGCCTGACATTCTCCAGGATCATGGTGGTGAAACACACATGGGGCTCATCCCTCTGTATGGATGTGCAACATTTCCTTCAGGGGGGGCGCTGTGCTCAGTCTAGTCCCCACTTGGTGGAGATTGAGGTCATTTCACTTTGGGGCTTGGGTCTAGATGTCCCCCCCAAACCTCATGTGGTCACGGGGAGCTTTTCAGAGGTGGCTGGATCAGGATGTGTGGTGCTGAAATTAAGGGTGCATGATTAATTACTAAATTAGTCCACTGGTTGGTCTGGCACAATTCTGGGTGTGGATAATGAGAAGGCCCCGCTAGGTGCGGGTGGCCCCACCCAAAAGGCCAGGTAGCCTGGATATGTATATAAAGGGACAGAAAGAAGGCAGGCTGCTGCTGCTGTTTCCCTGCTTTGCTGCCTTCTGCCTGCCATGAACTATTTCTCCTCTGTGATGCCCCTCTCCCATGCCAGCCTGCCAAGGAGCTGGCTGTGGTCTGTGAGCTACAATAAACCTTTCCTCCTTTAACTTTTGGTGTTGAGTATTTTGTCTCGGCAATGAGAAAAGTAACTAAGATAGGGCTGTTTCGGATAATGCTGCTCTGAGCACACTGTTTTGGATAATGTGTGAGTTTCTGTGCGGATGTACAGTATCTTTGCCCTTGGGTTGCTCCTGGGAGTGGAGCTGCTGGGCCACATGGTCACTGTCCAGTTAGCCACTCAGGGAGCCACCACACTATTTTCCAAAGGCTTAGGAGGAAAGTTTCACAGTGCTTTTGCCTCTGCCAACTCTGGATCTCCTAGGATCACACCTGTATCATAGCTTCATCAACTTGTTCACTTTGGAAGAGTTTGAAGATCCAGGTGACCAAGGAATCAGATTCCATGGAAAGAGAAGCCCTCGAGCCTTTTCTCCTCCGTGGGCAGTGGCTCTGTCATCATGCGTGATGCCACACGTG